TAATTCATGATCTTTATGTGTTTTAATGGAATCCATAACTTGTCCTCAAATTATGGATAACCAAAAGTCTATTTGTGTTAAAAGCGATTAAAAGAACACATAAGTTCTAAAATGAAGAGTCTTCATTTTAATAGCTCATAAGTTATGAATATGAAAGGTGTTGTAAAGTTACAAAACTTGCCCTCAAGTTTTGGAACAAGTAAAGTCATGATTAAAAAAAACTTTAGTTCCAACCCTTAGAATTTTTAAACATTAAAAATCAACCCTTATACTTTATAATATTATAAGTTAATAATATATATATATATATATATATATATATATATATATATATATATATATATATATATATATATATATATATGTATAAGATCTAGTCGTCTTACCACTACTACGCCTCATTCACGAAGCCGGTCTATAAGGGGGGTATAAGGTTGTTGCCTATAAAATGGCAACTTAATGGGTGTCCACTGTCACCCACCGCTTCCTTGATCGGTGGATGGTCGTTAGCCGAACGAGTAAGACAAGGACTTATAAATTCTCATTAAAAGTATGATGAATATTATAAAGTAACTAAATGTTTTATTAAATTCCCAATCTTAGTTACTTTAGGAAAATGTGAATAAGGTGCTAATCCATGAAATTACACTTTACACTTTGTTTAAGTCGTTCGTGGAGCATGTGTGGTTAACCGGCACACTAACTTGGACTTAAAAAGGTAGGTAAAGGGTGACTTAAGGTTTATCATAGTATCGGTGGAGCGTGTATGGTTAACCGACACATCGATTGAGTGATGAACTTTAAGGGTACCAAGTGATTTGCATGATTACTTCACACCTCGTTTTGTGATCCTTGGTATCCTAGTCAAAAAGCTTGGAGGGCACACTCGAGATTGAAACATGCCTTTGAAAAGTTCATTGAATCTCAAAAGAATCTAGGAATTTCTAAAAACCAATTAAAAACCTAATATTTATATTTCGTTTATCAAGGTGGAAATTGGTGAATCGTCATTCACCTACCTTTCAAATATGTTATAGCTTGGATTACGCCATACCTCTTATAAGTTATAATATATTGTGATTGGATCCTAGCCTTAATATTACATTTGGGTATTTTATTTAGGACTCTCTTAATATCTAAACTAATCTTGTCCTCTTCTTTCAGATGTCTTCAAACAATGCTGCTTCTAGCTCTAATCCTAATGGCTCCTTTACCCTTATGAACTTGTGTGGGAAAATCACTTTTAATAGATCCAACTTCAATGAATGGATCAGAAACATCAGGATGATTACCCGCTACGAGGACAAAGAATATGTCCTTGATAAGGAGCTTAAAGAGATTGATGAGACCACTGCAACTCCCGAGGAGATCGCTGACTTTCGGGCACATGAAAGGGATGCCATCAAAGTGGCTTGTATCATGTTGGCCACCATGACAGCAGAACTCCAAAAGTCCTATGAGGACTTCTAACCTTTTGAAATGCACCAAGATCTGATGGAAAGATACTATCAAAGTGCACTACAATAGAGGTATGAAATCATCTGCTCCATGATAGTAACCAGGATGAAGGATGGAGACTCCGTCATGAGCCATATGCAGAAAATGCAAAGGTATGTGGATCGTTTGTTGAAGCTTAATGTGAACTTACCTGAGGAGCTTGCAATAGATATCATTTTGCACTCCTAACCCTTGTGCTATGATCAATTTCGCATGACATACCACATGAATAAGGAAGAAGTCACACTCAAAAAACTTCAGGGACTCCTCAAGACTGCAAAAACAGGTCTTAAAGATAAGTCGGTTGTTAACACTCCTACTCATACTCTAAACTCTGCCCTTGTCTTGGCAATCAGGAAAGGTAGAGGGAATAAGAGGAAGAGCTCTTCAAAGGGTACCAAGGCTATGACCCTTGATGGCTGTTCTTCAAGTGGAACCAAGAAAGGTTTCGTCACTCCTTCTTCTGACCCAAAAGAGACTGCATGCTTCTATTGCCATGAGAAGTCGCACTGGAAGCAGAACTGCCAAAAGTACCAGCAAGATTTGAAGTATGGGAAAGTTAAACCCAACCATGCAGGTATTTACACTATCTTATCTAATAACTCACCCGATTCTAAGTCTTGGGTCCTTGATACCGGTTGTAGTATTCATATATCTTCTGATTTGCAGGGACTAAGAAGAAGTGAGAATGTGGAGCATCGAAGAATAAATTTAATCATGGGGAATAGGAAATCTTTACCTATCACCAAGATTGGAGTTTATACTTTATCGCTAAGTAGTAGGTTTAGTTTAGATTTGAATAAATGTTATTACTCGCCAGAAATGGCAAGAAAAATTATCTCCTTTCATGCATTGTATAAACAAGGTTTCACCTTTTCATTCGATAATGAAGTTGGTTCGTTTAATGCTTTCTTTAATAATGTTCTTTATTTTAAAGCATTCCCTTGTGATGATGTGTATGAAACTGTATTTGTAGTTGATAACTTAGGAAATAATGTATTGTGTATTGATTCTGTTAATGATAATAACTTGGATAAAACATCATTATGGCATTGTCGCCTTGGACATATAAGCAAGAAAAGCATAGGCCAACTCCAAAAGGATGGAGTCTTGGAGTCATTTGACCTAAAGTCAGATGATATTTGTGAATCATGCTTACTTGGAAAAATGACAAAGTCACCCTTCACAGGTTCTTGTGAGAGGGGTGAAGGTTTTTTGGATCTCGTACACACGGATGTGTGTGGACCCTTCAAACATGCCACAAGGCATGCTAATCGTTATTATTTGACATTTAGTGATGATTACAGTAGATATGGATATGACTACTTAATCAAGCATAAGTCAGAGCCTTTTGAAAGGTTTAAAGAGTTTAAACAGGAAGTAAAGAATCAATTGGGCAGGAACATTAAGATGCTTCGATCCGATCGAGGTGATGAGTATCTTAGTTCAGAGTTCCTAGACTATCTTAGGGGATATGGGATAATTGACACCTCCCAGGACACCGCAGTTGAATGGTGTGGTTGACAAGCGTAATCGAACCTTGTTGGATATGGTTCGTTCCATGATGAGTCGAGCTTCTCTACCAATCTCATTTTGGGGGTATGCCTTAGAGACTGCTACCCATATCCTGAATCTAGTCCCTACAAAGAAAGTTGCCAAAACTCTTCATGAGATGTGGACTAGTAAAGTACCTAAACTAGACCACATTAAGATTTGGGGTTGCGAGGCTTTCATGAGACGCAAGACTCATGATAAGCTTGAACCTCGAAGTGAGAGGTGTATTTTCATCGGCTACCCACAAAATTCCTTTGGTTACCTCTTCTATAGACCTAGTGAAAATGCGGTCTTTGTAGCTAGGAGGGCTGTCTTGAGAGAGAAAGAGAGAGAGAGAGAGAGAGAGAGAGAGAGAGAGAGAGAGATAGAGTTCATAAGCCAAGGAAACAGTGGGAGGCAAGTTGACCTTGAAGAAACTCAAGAGTCAAGTGGTGAAGGAACTTCAAACCCTAGCACTCAACTTGAGTAGGAAACTCCTGTTGAGCCAATTGACAAGTCGGTACCTCTGAGGCGTTCCACAAGGGTTAGGAATGCACCTGAGCATTACTATGGATTCCATATTACTGCGGAAGGTGATACACTTATCAGTGATGAGACACTGATAGGTCTCGATGAACCTAACAGTTACGCGGAAGCCATGGCAGACCCCGAGTCTGCCAAATGGAAAGAGGCAATGGACAACGAGATACAATCCATGTATAACAATCAAGTTTGGAAGTTGGTTGACAATGTACCAGGTCGTAAGACAGTTGGGTGCAAGTGGATATTCATGAAGAAGACCAACATGGATTGTAATGTACACACTTATAAGGCACGACTGATTGCAAAGTGTTTCTCACAAACTCCAGGAGTTGATAATCATGAGACCTTTTCTCAAGTGGCCAAGATTAAGTCTATTAGGGTTTTGTTAGCCATAGCTGCATTTCATGACTATGAAATATGGCAAATGGATGTCAAAACCACTTTCCTAGATGGAAAGTTGGTTGAGGATGTTGACATGAGTCAACCAGAGGTTTTTGTCAATACAAAGTACCCTAATAGAGTGTGTAAGCTTGAGAAATCCATTTATGGATTAAAGAAAGCACCTCGCAGATGGAATCTTTGATTTGATGACAAAGTCAAAGAATTTGGCTTTTCTAGGAGTGAAGATGAATTTTGTGTATATGTCAAGGCTAGTGGGAGCATAGTTAGCTTTTTGTTACTATATGTGGATGACATACTACTCATAGGAAATGACATCCCAACTTTGTAGGAAGTTAAGTCCTGGCTTGGGAAGTCACTACTAGAAAAACAGCCTTTTATGACGCTCATTGCGCGTTGTAAAAGGCTCAGATGACGCGCAAATGCGTGTCAAGGAAGGCCCTGTCATAAAGAGAAACGACGCGCTTTTGCGCGTCGTCTATAGACGACGCTCATTTACGATGCACAATTACGTCGCGCATTTACGACACGCAATGCGTATCAAGGAAGGCCCTGTCATAAAGGAAGACGACACGCATTCGCGTGTCGTAACCTTATGACGCGCGTGTTAATGACACGCAATGCGTATCAAGAAAGCCCCTGTCAAGAAAGGCCATGTCATAAATGAAGATGACACACATTTTTGCGTATCATAATTTTAAATGTTTTAAAAAAAATATTATATTATTGATTTACTATTTTTCATATTAAATAATACATTAAAAATCTCATAATACAAAATAAAATACGATAAATAACGAAGATAATTCATTTCACTAATATGTCAAATACAAATAATTATTCCAATATTGAGTAATTGTAATAAAAGAAATGAACTCAAGAGAAGTAGAATTTATATACAATCGCATTATCTAGCTTACTATGTGCTAACAACTCTCTGTGTGTTTGCTTTTGCTTGAGTCTTGTTTCCTCCAAAGCTTCTAGCCATGCCAAAGTATGAGTCTTGCTTTTGCTTGAGTCTTGTTCATGTCCAAATCAAGTAAAACATTGCTAACTTATATTCATCAAGTCCTTACCTTCCTGGAACTGAATTGAAGTCACCACAGACGAACATTGGAATATCTGAACTTGCAATTATCTTTTTCAATCCTTTTAACAGTGTGTGAACCTTCAATTTTCACATTTATATAGTTTTTAAGTTATTAAACATGAAGAAAAAGTGTATATATATAAACAACAAGAGATACTTATCTTCTTTGTTTTCATTTCTCTTCGACAAAATCTACACTAAAAGAAATGTGCGCATGTATGTTAATGTCAAAATTCCTATGAGGGCAAAATGGTCATAATAATTCGGAACATACATACATACATACATACATATATATATATATATATATATATATATATATATATATACATACACACACAACACAATATCAATGTATGTCAGTGTGTGTGTGCTAACAACCGAGAAGCTAAAGAGCTTCCTAACATGGAAGATAACATGAAAGTAGAAAAAATGAAACCATATGGAATGTCTTTACCATTTGGGCTTAAAGCAGGTGTCCATAGAAACACAAAAGTGTACATTGAACCCTCGAATAAAGATTGTATTGCACCCAATAATGCTATCTTTTCATCTGTTTTTACAAAAAAAAAAAAAAAAAAAAAAAAAAAAAAAAAAAAAAAGGTAGAATGATATGTATTCATAATTACAAGATTGCCACTTTGGATTCTTCATGCTTCTCCTGTATATGCATGAGAGAGAGAGAGACCTGATGCAATTGCAACAGCAGCACCCCTGAATTGGGTCATTAGATCTTTGCTTTTTGATGAGTCACCATAATTTTCAGTCCATGATGATATGATGATGGCCATTCCAATGGCAAGAAAGATTGAAGCTGCATCAAATGGAGCAACAGGTCCCATGGCCAATGAACCAACTAAAAGATTTCCAAATAAACCAGCTAAAATGGCAACCAGTCCATTCCCAAGAAATATTGCCTTGGAGAATGTAGTTGATAGCCATTGTTGCTCAAAACCTCTCTACAGATGCATCAAAACAAGAGCATTAGAACAATAGACAATATAAAGGGTGTATTTAGAAATGTAATATTATATCTCACCTTGTTGTGTTCAGCAACAAGCCATGATTCGAAGGCTAAAAAGAGGAGAGAGGTGGCAATCCCTCTCAATATACGCCCCACCATTAGAATTATGTACTGAGGTGAATGCTTGGTGATGCAATTTAGAATGTAGGTTATGCAGTAAGTAATTGAAGCTCTTTTTGCTTCTCCTTCTCCTTCAGAATGTAGGTGACAGTCCCTCCTCAATTTCTCCCTGATAGTTGATCCACGGCGTTTTTTTACTCGCATATCAGAACTGTCATCAGAAGAAGTATCTTTCTTCACAGTTTTTTTCTTTTTACCTATAAAGAAACAAAGGTATCAGTTCAGCAACAAACTTTCACTTTTTGACTCATTTAGTCCCTAATCGGTTTTTTGAATTCAATTAGAGTACACTTAAAAACAAATTTAGTGGTCTACTGAGTCCAAAAAATGATTAGGTACTTGTAAGGTACAGTGGCTGAATAAATAATGATGCTTTCCTGTTTGTTTTTTAGAGTAAATAAGCCAAACTGTCTGTACGTGACAAAATGACCATTTTACCCTTTCGTTTATGAATAATACAAACACAAGTGTTCATATGTAAAACATGGTTTCAGGAAAATGACATGGAAGGTTCAGCTATCTCAGAGTTGCAAAAGAGACTGAATATTTCTGTTTCGTTTTCTGGTCATAATCTTCAAATTGTTCATGAATCAGAAGATAAAGAATTTCTTGAACTGGCATCAAGGATAAATGGAAATAAATCATTTAATAATAAACAGGTCAGATATCTTTATTTAGTTATTTTATTTCTCTTTTTGCCATATGTGACTGAAATATATTATATTATTATACATAAAACTTACTACAGGCTGTTGATGCACTCCGTGAACATTGGCAAAATTCTTCCCCAAAATCAATACCTCTAAAGGAGCTTAACCCCTAAACAGGTAAGAAAGTCTCCAATATAGATTATTTCTTATATGCAAAAGAGAAAAACAGCACCAATACAAATAGAACCCAGTCATGTAAGTCCACTCTAATAGAAACCTGTCATTTAAAGGTTCTTCATGTTTCCAATGACTATGTTTGATAAAAAAAATGAAAATGAACAGAAAGACTTCGTAATGATAATAATGAGGGTAAATTGATAATTTAAACTCAAAATGCTGCATTTCGCATAGGGCATCCGATTTGGAAATTTGTTCAATTATTGTGGGATGGAAACAATCAAACAACGTATATTTTATTGATATTATGTTGATAAGTTGCAAGTCTTCTATGTTACCTATTTTAACAGAAGATCTAAGGAAGACTGAATATACTTACTGTACAAACCAAAGTAATAGGAAGGACAATGCAGAGGAAGTCGATTATTCGTCCTCAAAATCCCTCTTTTCTGTCAAATAAAATTACATGAATATGTCAAGGACAACATTAATAAACACCTATTAAATTGAAAGGGAAAATGATAGACCCTTGTTGAATCTATCATAAACTCCAGGCATTTTAACCCCTGATCTAATTACGTGATGATATTAAGATAATTCCCAGCTTTCGAGATGTGGGTATCTCCAAGAAAGAACAAAGTTCAATTCATAATAATTCTTCGCTATCTCACTCCTATTACTAACTACTATATATATACTGCTACTACTAAAGAAAAGGACAAAAGGGAATAACAGCTAGCAAGGTGATATCACCACTACTTTGTCTCACCACTAACTCTAAACTGTTAAAATAAATAAAAGACCAAACTGCCCTCCATACACCAATTCTGGAAGTAGGCTGCAGAAGATTAGACTTTGGGTTTCCAAGCCCTTATACCATAAACTAATAGTCCATGGGGCTTATCAGAAAAGAATAACAAAAAAGAAAACCCCACAAACCTTTGGGTATGTGTTGCGTCGCCTCAAATTTGCAAGAGCAGAAGCAACCTGATTAAGATTATATGTTAAAATTAAGTTGTAATTTGTAAATATATATGATAATAATTATTTATGAAATAAATGATACCTGATCACTAGCTTCTTTGAGCTGTAATAGTACCATTGCATATTCCTTTTTGAAGCTTTCGGATACATTCATGGGGACACCTGTCTCGTTTTTACTCAATGAGAGTGCATGTATATCGGTTGCTGCATGCTGATGCTGTGAGATAATAACATTGTCTGCAGCTTTAAGAGGTGCACCAGACCGATTTTGTCCCCAAACAACGTATAATTTTTAATTTTATTAACATATGTTCGGGTATTTTTTTTTCAAAAATAAATTTAAGAAAACTAACCAGTCGATGGAGACCGGGTTTTCAATTATACCTAACACACATGAACCTTCACATGGAACGGGGCAAACCTTGCCCATGAACTCTGGGAAGTTACTTGTTTCAAGAAGTCGATCCAATGCCTCACGTCATCTGTTGTGGTCGGGTCGCCCGATGTTTGACCGCATCAGTGACTCTTGATGGTCGGGTCGCCTGTTCAGCATTTTCATCCTCCTTCACCTAAAAATCAAAATTAAACAAAATTACTATTTTACCCCTCAAAAAAATTCTAAAGCATTATAAATAAAAAAAAGATATGATTCTCACCTGATTAACAGTGCCAATCAACTGATTAACTGTCTCAGTCAGTGACTTGGCTGCCAGCTTCTTAAGATCCTCAAAAGCATCTTTCTCCTTCAACACATCTTCCTCACGAATGTCAGCTTCTTCAGCAGCCAAATCAACTTTTTTTTAGTTCTTTTCTATGGATTTTGACCATTTTCAACTCGACCCACTAACACTTAATAACTTTGACTTGTGGAGAGAAAACCCATGCTTTAACCATGTATAGATCATCTCTCGCTTTCTTGAAACAAGCAGCTTGGGACTGGAACAACAATCAAATCAAAATTTCTCAAACAAATAAAATACAGGGTTTAGAGCTCATTTTAAAGCCAACTGATATGAAGGAAAAAAAACCTCATGATACAGATATGCGTTGACCCCCTTTAGCCCATGCCACATTACAGACCCAATCAGCTTGTGGCTTACTATAGAGAGAACCTAAATTCAAATCTCTAACACATAATTTGAAGAAATTGTTGTCTTTGTCATACATGATGTATGCAATGAATCGATGACCTGGTGAGACTTCTGCTACCTCTTCATATGCATAACCTAAATGAAGTCATGTTAATAGATTAAATGAAGTGGAAGAGAATTAGAGATCGTTGAAAGATGTTGAAATGATACTGGAATTGGAATTACCCCAAATCTTTCTGCTTCTTGATTGTAATCGATGAGTTTTTGTTCAATCCTCTTCCTGGAGATGAAATCGAACCCACCTGTTGGACTTTTATGTGAAATGAACTCTTCGTTTAGGCTAGCTAATCTCCTACAGAGTAATGGATATTGTTTCCTTTCCTCTACTCTCCTGTAATACAACATGAATTTCACCTCCAAATTGCCAAAGAAGAACACGGAATTTGAATTCGAATCCAAAAGAAATCAACAAGCTTCAGATGAAGTGCAATTTGAAATTGATGGTACCAGGGCCCCCAGTGAAATGGAGGAGTGGAGAGCTGAGAAGACATGCGAGATGCTATTTTTGATTGGAGTTTGGATTGAAGGCGATCGGAGTCTGCTAAAATAGCTTCAATCGAATGGCGATGATGTAAGGAGTCACATAACCTTCAATCGAAGGTGTTTTGCGTGAGAGGAGTTGTTGGATCTCTCTGAAAAATTTATTGAGAAGTGGTTCAAAGCCCTAGTTCTTTTCGTCGAATGGTGCTGATGAAAGCATATGGAGACTTGCGACATAGTGGATAGAGAAGATTAGTGTCTGATGGCGCTGATAAAAACATACGAGACAAACACTCTTTATAGATTCCATGGCCGCTTAGAGCTGATGGGTTTCGATGCTGGTGATGGCGGCTTAGGGCTTGGAAAGAGAAGGGAGAGAGAGTGCAGATCAAGGTACAGGAAGACGAGTTGCTTTAAAAGGATTGACAGCCTCACAATAGAATTAGGGTTCTTTGTTAGAATAGAATTCGGGTTCTTTGTTAGAGGATTGTAGAATGATAGAAGTAGGCGGGTGTTTAATTTTTTGGGATTTCATTTCCCTCCATCGCCGATTAAAAAAAAGCGAGAACGCGCCTTCCTAAAAAAAATATAAAGCGACATCTTTACACGATGCACTTTTTATGGTAGGTGCCTTCCGTGTTTTTTTTTTGGACATTAATTTCCGGGCACGCAAAAATGCGCGCCCTCTATCCTTCACATTTTGCAAAGCTGACATTATTTTTTAGGGCACGTACAAATGTGCGTCGTCTATCAGCGCGTGTCATTGTTTGCGCGTCATTAAAGGCCTATTTTCTAGTAGTGAGTGTTTCTTTATAAAGGACCTAGGAGAAGCTACCTATATTAGAGGGATAAGGATCTTGAGAGACTGGAGTAAAAGACTAATTAGACTTAGTCAGAGTACCTACTTGGATAAGGTGCTGAAGAGGTTCAGCATGTAGGACTCCAAGAAAGGAGAGTTACCCATCCAGAGTAACACCAAATTGAGTAAGACACAAACCCCAAGTACTGAGGCTGAGTTAGTAGAAATGAGTCCAGTACCTTATGCTTCGGTTGTAGTATCGATCATGTATGCTATGACGTGTACTCGACCTGATATATCTTTTACTTTAAGCAAGGTTAGTAGGTATCAGGGGAATCCTGGTAAGGCACACTGGACTGCGGTAAAAAATATCCTCAAGTACCTACGGAGGACTAAGGACTGGGTCCTTACCCTTAGTAGGAGTGATGAATTGAGAGTTGTGGGGTATAGTGATGCTATCTTTCAGACTGATAGGGATAATTTCCGTTCTCAGTCAGGCTGGGTCTTTACCTATAACTTGGGAGCAATTTCTTGGAAGAGTTCTAAGCAAGAGACAGTGGATGATTCAACTTGCGAATCAGAGTATATAGTAGCTAGCGAGGCAGCAAAGGAGGCGATATGGCTGAAGAACTTCATTGGAGACCTTGGAGTTGTACCAGCTATTAAGGAGCCAATGTAAATTTTCTGTGATAGTGAAAGTGCAGTTGCCTTAGCCAAGGAACCAAGGGATCACGGGAGATCCAGACACATCGATAGAAAATATCACTTTATCAGACATCGCATAGAAGAAGGACTCCTCGTGGAAAAGAGGGTATCATCGGATGAGAACCCAGCAGATCCCCTCACGAAGGGACTGACTCGGGTTAAGCATCTCCAGCATGCTCGGACCATAGGGCTGAAGGATGATATTAGTCTTAGTAGTTAGATAATTTTCGAAATTTGTAACGTGTAATTGACATTAGATGATGAATAAAAGGTGTGTTCATTTATGAGTAAAGTGTTGCTATCTCTTGTCAATCGTTTACTATATTTATTTTGCATGTTTTGACTTCCAGAATAATTATGTTTGGTATATCATATTATTCGAACCTCCACAGTCGGTCATATGTCGGAAGTAGGTATGAATCAAGACTGTCATGATTGGTTGCAGAGGTCTAAGTTGTTGGACATGGCTAACACTCATGAGTGCTCATAAGTTCTGAGCATTGGACTCAACCCACTCTTACTGGAATCACTTCATGGAATTTATCTCGAGTGATCGTGAGACGGTAACATCATATAAGTCTTCAAACCTAGAGATATGATTTGTTACCTATGAGTTGGTTATACATTGATTGTACGATAACACATTGGTAACTCGATGTTATAAAACGTGCTCTTATGTATAATTCAACAAGTAGTAGAGCAAACATATGAGTCGGACTTTATCTGTTCCTTCTTAGATTAGAAGCTGATATCTGGGCCCCTCGATGATTTTGTTTTGACCTATGTAGCAGGCCCGGTCAGAACTAAGTTGATGTGTTTAATTAAGTTCTTTGTGAAACAAATCAGAAATCGGGAAAGAAACTACTGGACAATACGTAAGACATTGTTCCATGTATTTGTCCGGCTGATATCTAGAACAGAGGATTATATGATCACTTATCTTAAACGGCGTATGATCATCTTCTTAGTTCTGAGAGACCTTGAAAGAGCTACGATTGATAATCAGTTCCAAAGGTCATACTTGCAGTTATAGTTATTAGACTTATCTAAGTGAGAGACTGTTGGATAAGGTATTTAAGTCCATAACTATTTCTGATTTGGACTTGACCCGACCCGGCATGGTCCATTTGGGTTGCATGGCATCATGCATTTGGATAGACTAAATGAGAGAAATAACAGTTGTGGTTATTAATAAATTAAAAGTTCTAATATATAAACAATATTATTTAATTAGTATTGATCAAGAATTAATTTGGAATTAATTAAGTGATCAAAAGATAACTAATTAAATATATGGGTTAATTATGTAAATCATCCATAACTTATATAGTAAGCTAAATGGCTCCATGGATTATCAAGTTGGGTTAAACCCATAGGATGCTCCATGGATGTTGCATGGGAGCTACAAACCCATGGGTCATGGAAATGAAGAGTCATGACACATTAGGGTTTACATGGTGTAACCCTAGATGCGTCGCACTACATAAGGAACATACTATCCACCAAAATCGGCTACACAAGTACAAGTGAGGGCTACGCCAATTTTAGATCTCAAAATTAATTCCAAAAGCATTTGGTGTTGTGTGAAGCATTTGAGGAATCACACTTGGGGTGCTACGCACACAACGTTTTAAGGAATCAAAATCAACTACAAGGTATGTAATTCTAGCCATCCTTTTAGAATAAAAGTTCCCCATGTATGCTAGATAGGATTATGAACCTTGGAAACCATATTTTGCATGTATTTAGACAAACATAGATCCAAAGTTTATTAGTGTTACATCCCCAAAATCTCGGCCAGAAAAGACCGGTTTCATTTATGGTTTTTAAACATTTTCAGAGTAAATCCTTTTGATTTTAAAAGAGATGCGGAATTTGTTCCCAAAAACAAAACATGATAAAATACATTTTTATCAAAACATTTCATGAAGAAATATAATTTCATTTCATAATCAAAAACTGGGATGTCATGTTCCGATACAGACCATAAAGCATAAACGATAACATTATAAGTCATTCAACAAATATATACATATACAGACTTGTAAACAAAACAACTTGATGATTCATCCATCTTATGCCCTTGCGCGACTTCCTGTAATACAAAGAAATTGAGTGGGTCAGGCTTGGGAGCCTGGTGAGCATATAGGGTTTTCAACCCACAATAAATAATTATATTAATTTCATCAACCAACAAAAACCCAATTACCCATTCCGTTATCCTTACTTTACGTCCCTAAACACTTTTCTCAAGGGACCTAATCTAAGAATATTTCATCGGGTGACAACACATGCTTCGGGGGTTTCTCGACAATATATGTCAAATAAGGCAACCATGGGGGATGGAGTACAGCGAATGAAAACCCAAGTTCATTAACACCTACAGGTGGCGAGCCTGCTAGTGTTCCACAAGACTGTTTAGAAAAGTCTGTGGTCGTTATCTAAACTCCGCTAAATGACTTAATCAAAAACAACGACATCGAGGCCTCTCTTCATTTTAACACACAACAACTATCTACCCATGCTTTACCCAAAAATTTTGTAGATAAAAATAGATATACGGTTTAAAATTTGTATATAACATTTATTCAACACTTATTTCAAACAAACAAATAATGTATAAACACATAACACCTATTTCAAAGCAAATACTTCATGTTTATGTTTTAGAAGAAAGTAACCACACACTCACATGTATAAACAACAATATATATATACACATAGCACGTATTTTATAAAATACTTTATATCTATGTTTAAGATGAAAGTGACTATACACTCACTTGATCAGAAGATGATCGGACAATACTACAACTTGTAAAAGTAGTATTTTCTCTAGATCTGGATAATCTTCACAAAAATCGGGCTCCTCGCAGGCAGGGCTTTGGCTCGGGAATAACACTCCTCGGGATCCTCGAGACATCGGAACTTACTTCGGGGCTCGGGAATGATATCGGGGCTTTGGGATATAATTTCCACGCAAAACGATGCAAAACTTAGAGAGAAAGGAAGAAAATGAACAAAGAAAATGGTTGATCTCTGTTTCTATATATAGGCTGTTGGGTCTAGGATTATACTGGGCGTAATTTCCAAGTACGTTGGGCGTAACTTTGGTTACGTTGGGCGTACGCTTTGGATAAGCTTTGGTATGCGTGCCATGAGCTTCAAAAATTCATAACTTTCACATACGAGCTCCGTTTTCGATGTTCTTTATATCCATGCGTAGGTGAGATTATGCTCTACAACTTTCATTTAGACTCCATTGCGGGACGTTTGCATGAGATTGACAGTGATGACTCCGGTGTTGGACACCATTCGAGGGGCCTAGGCTGAGGCTGTGAGACCAAAAAACCAGAAGATGGAGTGAGTTATCGAGCAGGTATCGGAGTTCGTTACCGATAGCCGAGGGCTTATGACATTTCAGGGTCGGATTTGGGTATCGTTTGTGGGCGGGACGCGTACCATTTTTATGGAAGAGGCACATCGATCGAAGTTCTTGATCCATCCCGGGGCCACTAAGATGTATTTGGACCTGAAGAAGGAGTATTGGTGTCCATGTATGAAGATGGATGCCGCGTGGTACATTGAGAGGTGCCTAACTTGTTGTAGGGTTAAGGCCGAGCACCAGAGACCGCATGGTAAGTTGCAGCCATTAGAGGTTCCCGAGTGGAAGTGGGAATAGATTACTATGGATTTTATCACCAAATTCCCGGGGACTGTGAGGGGTGTCGATGCAATTTGGGTGATTGTAGACAGGTTGACGAAGAGCGCTCATTTCCTTGCTATCAGTGAGAACTCTTCCGCAGAGAGGTTGGTCGAGATGTACGTGAGGGAGGTGGTATCGCGACATGGAGTACCGATCTCGATTGTCTCAGATCGAGATGTGCGTTTCACTTCCAGATTCTGGAAGAAATTACATGAGGAATTG